CTTTATCGAATTGTATGTATTTTTTGTTTGCCTGAACTGTGCACCATTCGCAGATGTATTTTTTGATGTCCCTTGTTGTTTGCTCAGTTGTGAATGGTCAATGGTCTGTTGCCCCATATAATGTTGTTGTAAGGTTTCCATGTGTGCCACAAAATTATGCTTGGGACTATTTGCCGTAGAGAGCCTGTGGTTGTGTTTCTGTCCTCGCCTAGCCACCATTTGAATAGAATTTGTCAAATGTTCCGTTCTTGTGGTGTAATTACCTGCAAAATATCAGAAAAGTATTTCCAAATTGGTAAAAAAAAAAAAATTGCACATGGCTATTGTTTCTTCTGCTGACCGGCAGAAATGGCATCTAGAGGCTAATTGAATGTTGAATCGGGTCAGGTTTGGAGTCCAGATGTTTTTTAGGCTAAAAGTGGAGGGGTGGTGTTTGCGGATTTGGTGGTAGGCACTGGTTAGGGTGAAGAGTCCATCTGGAGATGGTTTCCATAGCAACTTTCCTCCCTTTTGCAGTATTAGGTAATTGACCTTTCTGTCTTTTTTGCACAATTGTTTCCAAACAAGAGAGTCATTAGGTTTTGATGTCATATTTTCTGCCCTAGGATATCTGTTGTGCATGAACTTGGCCCATAATGATTCCTTTTGCTTGAAAGTCCACCCATTTTTTTAGGTTTATGGAACCCTGAATATCTGTAATTGTTCTTGTGTTGATTATTTTCCCAGAAAAAATTGGCCATAAGCTTATTTAGTATCTTGATGATTTTGATTGGGATGTTTGTTGTTGCCATATGATGAAGTGGTATTGCTAAAGGTGTATGCTTAATTAGGACCACCCTTCCGCTCTGACTCAGAATTTTCTTTTTCCAGGAGCTTAGTCTGTCCCCATTGTTGTACGAGCTTTGTGCAATGTTGGGGCCTGGTAATCCCCTGGTTCAACGTTGCTCCGAGGTATGTCACTGGCAAATTGAGTGTTGTCATTTTAGATATTTTCGCTATTCCTGTGTCCACCATCCTCAGCTTCTTGCTCACTGTAACCTTGCGTTTGTCTAGGTTGACAACAGTTTGTTGAGGTGCTTGAGAGAGGACGCTCCACCATTGAGAGACGGTAGGACGTCATCTGCCCACCCGCCCACGCACGCCCGCCCACGCACGTATGCACACACGCCCGCGCACACGCGCACACACGCTCGCCCCGCCCGCATGCACATGCACGCCCGCACACACGCTCGCATGCCCACATGCACGCCCACACCCACACACACACACCCGCCCGCTCGCCCACGCGCACACGCATACACGCCCTCCCACGCACGCATGCACACACGCCCACAGACGCACACACGCACGCACGCACACATGCACGCCCCCACCCACATCCACACACCCACACACACCCACGCACGCCCGCCTGCCCGCTTACGCACGCCCGCACGCCCGCACACACGCCCGCACGCACGCACGCACGCACGCACACACACACGCACGCACGCACACATGCACCCCCACCCACACACACCCATGCCCGGCTGCCCGCACGCACGCACTCTTGCTCCCACGCACGCACGCACACCCGCACGCACGCACACCCCGCCCGCCCGCCTGCACGTCCACTCTCACACATGCACGCACGCCCACAGACGCACGCGCGCGCACACACACACACACACACACACACACACACGCACGCATGCTCGCACGCCCGCACGCACATGCACGCACACACACACGCACGCACACACGCCCCCACCCACACGCACGCACACACACGAACGCACGCACGCACGCCCACTCGCCCGCCCACGCACGCACACATGCACGCCCCCACCCACCCCCACCCACACACCCACACACACCCACGCCCGGCTGCCTGCTCGCACGCACACCCGCACGCACGCACGCCCACACACACACACAGCCCATACACACGCACACACACACGCCCTGCCCACCCACACACATAACTATTTATGTATTTATCCATTTAACTATTTGTCTATTTATCCATTTAACTATTTATCTATTTACCTATTTATCTATTTATTTATTTATTTATTTATTTATTTAATTATTTATCTAGTTATCCATTTAACTATTTGTCTATTTATCTATATATCTCTATATCTATTTACCTATTTAACGATTTATCTATTTATTTAGATAACTATTTATCTAGTTAACTATTTATCCATTTAATTATCTATTTATTTATTTATCTATTGAGCCACACACACCCACACGCCCGCACATGCACGCACGCGCACACGCACGCCCACACGCATCCACACACCCACACACACCCATGCCCAGCCGCACGCACGCACGCACGCGCTCTTGCTCCCACGCACGCACGCACACCCGCCCGCCTGCCTGCACGTCCACACACACACACACGCACGCACACACGCCCCCACCCACACCCACACCCCCTCTCGGCCGCCCGCTCGCACGCCCGCCCTCACGCCCACACACACACGCCCATGCCCACGCCCACACACACACACGCCCACGCACACACACGCCTGCCCACACACGCCCACACACACACCGCCCACGCCAACACGCACACACACCCACACACACACACACCTGCACGCACCCACCACACCCACACCCACCCACGCACGCCCGCCCGCACACCAGCCCACTCTCCCGCACACACACGAACGCACGCACGCCCACTCGCCCGCACGCACGCACACATGCGCACACACGCACGCCCACATGCACGCTCCCACCCACCCCCACCCACACACCCACAACACCCACACACGCCCACGCACACGCCCCTACTCGCCGGCACACACACACACACACACACACACACACACACACACACACACACACCGCCACCACACGCCCACAACCACACACCCACACACACCCATGCACGCCATTTTGCCCGCCCGCCGACGCACGCACACACGCCTGGCACACACACACACGACCGCACAGGCACGCTCGCTCGTCCGCACGCACACGTGCACGCACGCACACGCGCACACACGCACGCATGCACTCTTGCACCCACGCACTATTTAACTATTTATCTATTTAGTTATTTAACTATTTATCTATTTATATATCTATCCATTTAAGTATTTATCTATTTAGTTATTTAACTATTTAACTATTTAACTATTTATCTTTTTATCTATTTAACTATTTATCCATTTATCTATTTATTTATCTATTCAGCCACACACGCCCGCCCGCTCGCCCACGCGCACACGCATACGCCCTCCCACGCACGCATGCACACACGCCCACAGACGCACGCACCCACCCACGCACGCACGCACACATGCACGCCCTCACCCACATCCGCACACCCACACACACCCACACACACCCGCCTGCCCGCCTACGGACGCCCGCACACACGCCCGCACGCACGCACACATGCACCCCCACCCACACACACCCATGCCCGGCTGCCCGCACGCATGCACTCTTGCTCCCACGCACGCACGCACACCCGCCCGCCTGCACGTCCACACTCACACATGCATGCACGCCCACACACACACGCCCACAGACGCACGCACGCGCGCGCGCACACACACACACACACACACACACACACACACACACACACACACACACACACACACGCATGCTCGCACGCCCGCACGCACATGCACGCACACATGCCCCCACCCACACGCACGCACACACACGAACGCATGCACGCACGCCCACTCGCCCCGCCCACGCACGCACACATGCACGCCCCCACCCACCCCCCACCCACACACCCACGCCCGGCTGCCTGCTCGCACGCACACCCGCACGCACACACACACACACACACACACACCCATACACACACGCACACACACACGCCCTGCCCACCCACACACATAACTATTTATGTATTTATCCATTTAACTATTTGTCTATTTATCTATTTAACTATTTATCTATATCTATAAATCTATTCACTTATTTAACGATTTATCAATTTATCTAGTTATATATCTATTAAATAACTTCACGTCCACACTCACACATGCACGCCCACACGCCCGCACACACACACACACCCACGCACGCTTGAACTCCCGCACGCATGCACGCCTGCACGCACGCCCTCACACCCACACACACACACACACACACACGCCCGCACGCGCTCGCACACACGCACGCAGGCACACCCCCCCCGCACACATACACACACACGCACCGCCCGCACCCACATGCACGCACGCACATATAAACGCCCACACGCCCACTCGCCCGCACACACGCCCGCACGCGCACACACGCACGCCTACATGCACGCCCCCACCCACCCCCACCCACACACGCCACCACACGCCCACACCCACACACACCCATGCACGCCCGTCTGCCCGCCCGCCCACGCTTGCACACACGCCTGGCACACACACACACGACCCCACAGGCACACTCGCTCGTCCGCACGCATGCACTCTCGCACCCACGCACTATTTAACTATTTATCTATTTAGTTATTTAACTATTTATCTATTTATATATCTATCTATTTAACTATTTATCTATTTAGCTATTTATCTATTTAACTATTTATCTATTTACCTATTTATTTATTTATATATTTAACTATGTATGTATTTATCCATTTAACTATTTGCCTATTTATCTATTTAACTATTTTTCTATTTATCTATATCTATATATCTATATACCTATTTAACGATTTATCAATTTATTGAGATAAGTATTTATCTAGTTAACTATTTAACCATTTATCTTTTTTTTTTTTTTTTTTTTTTTTTTTTTTTTTTTTTTTTTTTAATGAAGAGAAGATTTTATTCATAGAAAGAAAAAGTACAAATGGAAGGAAATACACGGAATTACAAAAAACGGGAGAAAAAAAATATATAATAATAATAATAATTTTAGGCCCACGGGAATTGTTTGGATTGGGACCTAGTTCTCATACTATGGCGCCTTTTGTTCTTCTGGGATTTCTTGTATAGCTTGAGTTGAGTGTTCAAGTTGTCAGTTGGGATGCAGTTATCCAAAGTAATGAACTGGGATTTATAGCAAATCGCACTGTTGAATTCAGAATCCCTAATATCTTCCCGTCCCGAAATGGGTGGTCGACGGTCGCATTCCGTTGCGTGTCCCAGGAAATCGTCTGAGAAGTGTGAATCATCTGATGGGTCAAAACTATCGGAAGCATCTGAGTACGCCTGTACAAGAGCTAACTTCGACTGTTTCTCTGTAGGAGGCTGATGTTTCTCGGCATATGCTCTCTGAACTTCAAAATTAAATATGAGTTTAGAAATGGATGTGCTTTCCTCTGTGTCTGCTATTGTCTCGTGCTCCAATTGAGTTGGTTCCTCCTGCACTAAACTAGTTAGTCCCACAAAATTTGAAAAAATGGCCAGAAAGTCATGTAACTCATTGTTATGTGGGCCCATGGGAATTAGGATGAAGCCTCCACTTTTCTTGGCAATTTTCAAGAATCTGCCAGATTTGTTGAGTTCAGTTGCAATTGTGATAATTCCAAATCTACGCCTCTGTCTATCATTACAATGATCGGCCCCTGTGAGTTGTGAGATAAAACGAACAATTTGGGGAGCAAATTGGGAATTAAAAGATATTTTGTGCAATCTAGATTTTTGAAATTGGAGAATGAAAATTTCATTTTCTTTTACTGCGAATTTGAAAATTCTCGAATCAATTTGGATAGAGTCAAATCCAATTTCTCCAAAAAAAGAGAATTTTTCTGAATCCTGGTTGGAAGGAGTTGTAGTCACAAGCTGTGTATTACTAGAAGGTGAAGGAGGGTAGTTGTCTTTTTTTTTTTTTTTTTTTTTTTTTTTTTTTTTTTGGATGAAATGTAAATATATATTAACACCCCAAACGGAACTATACAACACATGTCCTAGATCTCCTAAAACCTCCCCCACCCCCACATAAAGTGGGGGTGAAAGGAGGTTTTTATTTGATCTAATCCTTGTCCAAAAAACCAAGTATAGTACTTGGTCAATCAAAAAGTACAAAACTACATCAGAGCTGCAGAAGCACGCTCACGGATCAAAGGCTAATAAAACAGATGCATACAAGATGTTGCAATAGGCAAACATCCCCAAAAATCAGAAGTTCAGTTGAGGCCGCAGCATAATTAGTTCCCAGAGGTTCTATAAATGCCGCAGCCTAATTCCTGCCCAAAGGTGCTATTAATGCCGCGGCATAATTCATGTCCATGCTCACTTCATCAAAATATACTTGTCACGAACTCTGCTTATAGCTTTGCCTCCTGGCCGTGTCTTCCTTCAAAATTTGATAAGATCATGTGGATATATAGAATACATTATTTTGTATACCACATGTTTTATCTTTGCAATGACCTCTTCTTCCATTTTTATGCTTCCATCAAATCTACAGGAGTTCCTAGCATTCCAAATGTAGTAGACCGAGGCGCAGAAAGCTAGGCGGACTGCCTTTGCCTTCATCCTCGAGCCTTTGTGAGTCTTTGTGATCCATTTGATAGCGCTTAGCAGCGTAGTCATCTCATGCCGCAATCCCATCCAATCTCTTATGCGCTGCCACACCCTACATGTGAAGGGGCAAAGGAAAAAAAGGTGTGGTATTGTTTCCAAACCACCCTTGCAAAGGTCACACCTATTCACAATGTGCAAATACCCAAGGCTATCCTGTGTAGGAAGCCGGTTCCTTAATGCCATCCATACATTAAAAGATAGTTTGGGAGGAATGTAAGACTTCCATATGAAACACATAGGAGTTCTAACATTACCCCTTACTCTTAGTAAATCATAAATTTTTGCGGAGGCTAATTTTCCATGCATGGATCGTGCATTAAGGCCGAGCAACATATCGTTTCGATTATTAAAACATTCACATATTTTATTCCGTATAAGACTTAATCGCTTCATTAGTTGGGAGTCCCGAGTGTGTGGGACAAAGTCCCACACATTTCTACCTTTGAGATAGACTCCATTCACCCAACGTACCCAGAGCGTGTCCTTTTTTTGGTGGACATCCCAAAGGGTTCTAGATAGGAGAGCATGGTTCCATATCTTAGCATTATGGACACCCAAGCCCCCTTCCTCTCTAGGGAGGCAAATGTCATCCCAAGCCACCTTTGCAAATTTACCACCCCATAGGAAAATACGACAAATCGAGACAATCCTATTTAAGATTGTTTGAGGTACCGGGAACACTTGAAGCCAAAACGACTGAACTCCTTGAATTACAGAACGAATTAGCTCAAGTTTACCCGCATAGGAAATTGTCTTGGTATTCCATGCATTCAAAAAATCATTAACCGTATCCAAGAGTGGGGCATACTGTGCCACCGAGATTTTGAGGGGCGCAAGTGGGACCCCAAGGTATCTCACAGGGAAAATACCCTGGTCAAAGTCAACAAGATCTAATATACCTTGCACATCAAAACTATGAACTCCTCCAATGAAAATGTTTGACTTGTTATGATTAACCCTTAGGCCCGATACGTCCCCAAACTCTTTTAGGGCATCAACTAATATCCCAATGGAATATTTGTCTCCTCTAGAAAAGAGCATAAGATCATCCGCATAGGCCAAATGGGTTATACCCAAGGATCCACAAAGCGGGTGGTAATTAAATCCCGACGTCTTAGTTTTTATGGCAAGAAGACGAGAAAAATACTCAAGGCATAACACGAAAAGCAAAGGGGACATTGGATCCCCTTGCCTAATGCCACGCTTCCCCTTAAAAAAACCATGCAAAGACCCATTTAACGACACAGAAAAGGAGGCCGTAGTGACACACTCCATAATCCATCCCACAAAAATTCCGGGGTAGCCCAAACCCGTAAGGACATTGGCAAGGAAATCCCAAGAGATGGTGTCATAGGCCTTCCGCAAATCCACCTTGATCATGCAACGAGGTGAAATTCGCTTCCTATTGTATCCTCTAACAAGTTCCTGGGCTAGGAAAATGTTATCAAACATTAGGCGGCCGTCGACAAACGCACCTTGCGCTTTATTAATCAAACCCGAGAGGGTAGGGATAATTCTTGCCGCAATAATCTTCGTGATAATTTTGTAAAGCACATTCGTACAGGATATAGGTCTGTAGTCAGAGACCTTAGGGGAGTGACTAGTTTTAGGAATTAGAGCTATGACAGTATGATTCAACTGTTTAAGCATCTTTCCCGAGTTAAAAAACTCTTTGGTCGCCCGAGTCACATCCCCCCCCCACAATATTCCAATTCTTTTTAAAAAACGCCGAGGAATAACCATCCGGCCCTGGTGCCTTGTTATCTCCAATATCAAACAAAGCATCTTTAATTTCTTTGTTCGTTATTGGGGATAATAGGCATTCATGAACACTTGGTTCAATCAACGGGCCGGTTCCTAGTACCGTATGGTCAAAGGAAAAGGTTTCCATCTCGGTTCCAAAAAGATCAACAAAAAATTTTACAAATTCGTTCCCAACATGATCAATAGAAGAGGTAAGACTACCATCATCCAAAGTAATGGAGGTAATGGTATTTCTGGCCTTGTTTCTGTTGACGATTGCGTGGAAGTATCTTGTACCCTTATCTGCCTCAAGAATATGCGTGGCCTTAGCTCGTTGTTGGAAGAAACAACATTCGGCCTCACAAAGAAAAGTAGCTCTCTTCCTCGCCCCTTTGACTTGGTCTTCCAGTTCGGCATCATTGGGTGAGTTTAGCCATAATCTATGCAACATTTTGAATTCCTCTTTCGCATGTTTAGCTTTCGTAGATATGTGACCAAATTCCAAATTATTAAGATTCTTAAGGGGCTGTTTTAGCAACTTAAGTTTCCTAGCAATTTGAAATTGGGCCGAGCCATTAATGTCCACATTCCAATTCTGCAGAAGTGTCAAAATTAAACCATGCTCCCTCGCGGCTGACTCCAGGCAGTTCGCGGATGCACTCAAGAGTGAAGCTCATGCCGGGATCCTCAAAATTTGCCCTTTTGAAGTCAGGACCCACTCGATATATAGGCATACTAAAAGGGAGAAGTTCCCTCTTCCCTGCATATACAATTCTATGCCCATCCGTATCAAACTCCATGCACGTAATCACATCTTCCTCATCTAGTTCATAAACATTATTGACTAGACGTTCCCCCCCAATCCTTGTATGGTTTCTTCCTCACATATATCGGGTCATGCAATTGAGCCGCGGCTTTGGCCTTGGAACGCCTTTCCACTTTAATCCTTTCCTCAACTTCCATTGCTTGTTCTCTTGCACGTGCGAACTCAACATTATGCCTAGCTTCAAGATCAAAGAAAGATGCAATGTTAGGAATAAAAATTTCTTTATTAAAATTATACCATTTTTTGGCACGCTTTACACCCGGGAGGCCCACCAAGCAAGGGTCCGTGATAGAGATTGCCGGTGAATCCTTTTGAGCTTCCTTAAGCGTATGAATGTCAAGTCTTGCCACCGGGGTTTGCCCTTTGATTTGTTGTTGTTTTTTAACAAAAACAACCGTCGCACCATCCTCCTCGGTATCAAAATCAACTATAATGTCATCCGAGAGCAATTGGTGCACACTTTTGATCTTTCTTCCTCTCCAAACAAATTTCTTTCCAAGATTTAAATTCGGCCCACTGGGAACTGTAGAACCAGCCACCTTAGGGGCCACTTTGGTGGCATTCGGGTTCTTTTTTGTTGAGGATTGGTTTTTATTCTTCCTTGGTACCACCAATTGGAAAGAGGTCTCCTCGGTTTGACCATTAGTAACCACATTAGGCTGAATTTGCTTCAATGTAATGCTTTTGGTAGTAGTCGCCTCTTCTTGCACTTTTTCACTAAGTTCCGGATGCAATATCATACACTTGAAAGGATCATGCCCATATTTTTTGCATTCATAGCAATAATTAGGATATGTTTCATAATACACATATTGTATTCTCTTCTTCCCGGATGGTTGAATCATAGGGATTTCAAGGATCGGCGGTCTAGATAAGTCCACCTCCACAAGCACTCTAGCAAAATTAGGTCTCATTTTAGTAAGAGTGACTTGATCCGCAACAATAGGCACCCCCACCCGTGAAGTAAGTTCACTAATCTCTTCTTTGTTCCATAGTGTGACCGAGAGACCGGGTAGCTTGATCCAAATAGGGACTTTAAGAAATTCCTCATCATCAACTTCAAAGTCGTCGGATAAGACCTTTAGAAATAAGGCCTTACCATAGGATGAATATGGCCCTCCGGATATGACCTTGGTACGGTCCTCTTCATTTTTGAATTGGAATATGGTCCATCCTTTATCATGTTTTTTCAGTTTGCATTGAACACCCCATGTATTAACAAGATCAAGCACCGCTTTGATACCGGGAAATCTCCCGGTGAAGATCCCCACCAAGCAATATCCCCATATATCAATAATGGAGGGCACCTTTCGGTTTGAGAAATCCACAATATCTCCCTTAGGTGGGATAAATTCAAGCTTCATGCCATGGGATAGAGAACGATTGTTTTGAAATAAATTGGCCCACCCCTTTTTTTCATTTTTCTCATCCTTGGATGTGGCATCGAGGCTAGCTTCTGAGTAAGTATCGATGGATCCAAGGGTCTCGGACTCGTCCTCTATCAAGTCATCTTTCTTGTGATTTGCATTCGTAATTGGAGAGACTCCAGTTGATGAAGCAGATTGCTTCTCAAAAGTAATTTCTTTCGAAGATTCCACAGTTGAATGTGTAGGATTAATAGTAAGACTTGGAGCAATTTTGGGAATATAAGGAGCAAGAACTTGATCTCCACTTTTCTTTTTGTCTTCGAGCTCCTTCTTCTTGTCATTAAGCATCTTGATCTTTGCGTCAAAAGAATTATCCTTCGGAGGAGGAGTACGATTCTTCTTGTTTTTCTTTGTCATCGGATAGGTTTGCATAACCTAACCCCAGTACAGAGCTTAAGTGTGCCTGAAAAGTTAGTAAGAAAAACACAAACATACAGAAAAAGCAAGCAGTAGTATTCAAGGCAGTGTTCACCAACCCAAACTATTTCCAAAAAATTTGAAAATACTTTCACACAACCCCCTTGAAGTTAGGAACACACCAGTATAAACCTTTACCCCAGTGGACAAGTATTGAATCCAGAAAAAATTCCTAACTAGTCAAAGGTTCGCAGGAATTACTGTAGCAGGCAGTGAGATAGGAAAGGGAAGATGAACAGTACTCAAGTAAATTCGAACTTCCCAGAAAAATCTGAAAAAATTCCAAATTACTCGCCAAGTGATAACGAAGCAGAGGAACAAACAACAAACTAAACACAATATGCAGTGAGTTCAGAAAAAAATCAAGTAAGGAAGTAACCTGCGTAGTGCTACAGTACCCAAGAATTTGGGGAGAAATAGAAATCTTACTTCCACCTGATAAAACCGGTACTACTGGCTTCGCCTAGGTTAGATGCTTCCAAAACCGTCTTTAGAATTCAATTTGGACGATAGGCTTTAGAGAAATTTGAGGTCAACGCTCTGTGGTGAACAGTAGCCGTCCGCAACGGATCCTTTCTTTCTTCAGTACGGCGGCGTTGTGGTGGCCTGAAACCAGTTGCTAGAGGTTCGCCAGAGGTCGGCGACCCCCAGGGAACCGTCTTCTTCCACAAACAACCGTCTACAATGGGATCTAAGTGGAGTTTCTAAATCGGGGATGAACAGTACAATCTGCGAAACTGGGGTTTCCAAAATGGGTCGATTCTCTCTCAGCAATCACTTTCTTACAAATCCAATCGGTAGATATGCAAGACAAATGATTTACGAGCAAGAGGAACACGGTTATACAGGGATTAATTCGTTGGAATGTCTGGGAGAGCAATCGGGAGTGACGAGCTATCTAAGGAAGTTCGAACTTTTGAGGGTGCGAAACTTTCCTAGAGAGAAGCAGGAGTGTTTTCTCAACTCGTCTCGGAGGGTAGTTGTCTTGGATTAATAAGATGCTATCTGCTAGGGGTTTTTTTTTGGGGGGGTGTGACGGGTAAAGATGGGGCTGCCGACTCTTTATTGCCAATTGTCAGCCCATGTGTACCCCTGTCATTTTTGAGAAGGTCAGCCCATGTGAGGTTTTTGGATTTTTGTTGCAGGTTACCAGAGTGGTGTCCACCATCACCTTCATGTCCCTGTCCCATGCCTTCAGCAAGTGTGTCGTGAGAGGTGATTTCCTCCATGGTTACCGGTTCAACGGTAGGGGAGGGTATCGGTGAAGAGACCGCCGGTCGCTGGGTCAGTTTACGGCTGAGCTTTCTACCCTCGTGTGTGGAATTTTGATTCCCGACTGGCATTCTACTTTGAAAGCCGTGCGGTTGATTACGGCTGTGCCTCGCCGGAGACCGCCGGTCGCTCCGTGAGGCGTACCAATTACTTTTGGTATGACCTCCATGCCTATGAAAAGTATTGGGATGGCTGTAGGGGTGAATACCGTTCTCCTTTTCTCGGTCAAAAGCGTATAGGAGGGAGAGATACTTAGGGTATTCATCATCTAGATCTAAACAGTAGAATCGATTAGCGTTACCGTATTCAAAGTCTAAGGGATTACGCTGGTGGGAGTGATACCGCCGATTTCTGTGTTTGACCATATGCCAAGCTTCGTCAAGGTCCCCAGGCTGTTCCGATTTACAAAGTACGGGTCGCACAGAACATGCCGATTTCCCTGGCCGTTGTACCAGTACCTTTTGCGCCGGCTTGAAATTTTCTCTGCTTGAATTTCTGTTTTGATTCTTGGCAGAAATCGTGTATCGTTCCGGTCGTCCTTGTGGCTTGAAACCTTGGTAGTAGTTAGGTCTTGAAGGTTTTGGTTTGCGTGCGCAGCGAAGTCTGGGATCATTCCCAGTTACAAAGGTTCTTGGTCTCAAGTATTTACATGCTTGATACCTGGAGTGGGGAAGTCTATTAGACGGGAATTCCCATTCCCAGTGGGGGAGAGCTGAGGAATTGTAAAAGTGGTTGGGAAGCCTGTGACGTGGGCGTGGCTGGAATTCCACGCTCATGGCTGAATTCACAAGGCTGTTGCCGGAAAAGTAGAGAGAAGCCAGAGATTCTCTCTCATGCCCATTCCCAAATTTGAGTTTGTGAATTTGGCCACAAACGCCCGCCCCGCTCGCCCACCGCGCACACGCATACACGCCCTCCCACGCACGCACACACACACGCACACAGACGATCGCACGCACGCACACATGCACGCCCCCACCCACATCCACACACACCCACACACACCCACGCACGCCCGCCCGCCTGCCCGCTTACGCCCGCACGCCCGCACGCCCGCCCGTACGCACGCCCGCACGCACGCACACACACACCCCATGCCCCGGCTGCCCGCACGCACGCACTCTTGCTCCCACGCACGCACGCACGCCCACGCTCGGTCGCCCGGCCGCACGCACACGCACGCACACCGGCCCGCCTGCACGTCCACACTCACACGCACGCACACACGCACGCACACACACACACCCACGCACGCTTGCACTCCCGCACGCATGCACGCCTGCACGCACGCCCCCCACCCTCACACCCACACACACACACACACGCCCGCCCACGCTCGCACACACGCACGCAGGCACACCTCCCCGCACACATACACACACACGCACCGTCCGCACGCGCATGCACGCACGCACATACGCATGCCCCCACACGCCCCCACCCTCACAGCTACACATACCCACGCTCGGTCGCCCGCCCGCCAGCACGCACGCACACCCGCCCGCCTGCACGTCCACACTCACACACGCACACACACACACACACCCACGCACGCTCGCACTCCAACACGCCTACACGCACGCCCCCCACACACACACACACCCACGCCCACTCACACGCCCGCACACACGCTTGCTCGCATGCCCACATGGCCACATGCACGCCTACACCCACCCCCCCCCCCCCCACACACACACACTCACGCCCGGCTGCCCGCACGCACACACACGCTCACGCGCACACACACGCATGCACTCTTGCACCCACGCACTATTTAACTATTTATCTATTTAGTTATTTAACTATTTATCTATTTATATATGTATGTATCTATTTAACTATTTATCTATTTAGTTATTTAACTATTTATTTAACTATTTATCTATTTATCTATTTAACTATTTATCTATTTACCTATTTATCTATTTATTTATTTATTTATTTTTTTATTTATTTATATATTTAACTATGTATGTATTTATCCATTTAACTATTTGCCTATTTATCTATTTAACTAATTTTCTATTTATCATATATCTATATATCTATATACCTATTTAACGATTTATCAATTTATTTAGATAAGTATTTATCTAGTTAACTATTTATCCATTTATCTATTTATTTATCTATTCAGCCACACACGCCCGCCCGCTCGCCCACGCGCACACGCATACGCCCTCCCACGCACGCACGCACACACGCCCACAGACGCACGCACCCACGCACGCACGCACACATGCACGCCCCCACCCCACATCCACACACCCACACACACCCACGCACGCCCGCCTGCCCGCCTACGCACGCCTGCACGCACGCACACATGCACCCCCACCCACACACACCCATGCTCGGCTGCCCGCACGCACGCACTCTTGCTCGCACGCACGCACACCCGCCCGCCTGCACGTCCACACTCACACATGCACGCACACCCACACACACACGCCCACAGACGCACGCACGCACGCGCACACAAACACCCACGCATGTTCGCACGCCCGCACGCACATGCACGCACACACCAACGCACACACGCCCCCACCCACACGCACGCACACACGCCCCCACCCACACGCCCACACACCCACACCCCCTCCCGCCCGCACGCACGCCCACACACACTGACACACACACACACACGTCCATGCCCACGCCCACACACACACACACGCCCACGCACACACACGCCCACTCTCCCGCGCACACACGAACGCACGCACGCACGCACGCACACACGCCCCCTCGCCTTTGCCGCCCACGCACGCACACACGCCCGCACGCGCACACACACGCACGCCCCCACACACCCACACACCCACGCCCGCTCGGCTGCCTATATACCTATATACCTATATATATCTAGTATATCTATATACCTATTTAACGATTTATCAATTTATTTAGATAAGTATTTATCTAGTTAACTATTTATCCATTTATCTATTTATTTATCTATTCAGCCACCCACGCCCGCCCGCTTGCCCGCGCACACGCATACGCCCTCCCACGCACGCACACACGCCCACAGACGCACGCACCCACGCACGCACGCACACATGCACGCCCCCACCCACATCCACACACCCCACACGCACACATGCACGCCCCCACCCACATCCACACACCCACACACACCAACGCACGCCCGCCTGCCCGCCTACGGACGCCCGCACACACGCCCGCACGCACGCACACATGCACCCCCACCCCCACACACCCATGCCCGGCTGCCCGCACGCACGCACTCTTGCTCCCACGCACGCACGCACACCCGCCCGCCCCGCCTGCACGTCCACACTCACACATGCACGCACGCCCACAGACACACGCCCACAGACGCACGCACGCGCGCACACACACACACACACACACACACACACACACACACACACACACACGCACACGCATGCTCGCACGCCCGCACGCACATGCACGCACACACGCACACACGCCCCCACCCACACGCACGCACGCACGCCCACTCGCCCGCCCACGCACGCACACATGCACGCCCCCACCCACCCCCCACCCACACACCCACACACACCCAGGCCCGGCTGCCTGCTCGCACGCACACCCGCACGCACGCACGCACGCACGCACACACACCCATACACACACGCACACACACACGCCCTGCCCACACACACACATAACTATTGCTGTATTTATGTATTTATCCATTTAACTATTTGTCTATTTATCTATTTAACTATTTATCTATTTATCTATATCTATAAATCTATTCACTTATTTAACGATTTATCAATTTATCTAGTTATATATCTATTAAATAACTGCACGTCCACACTCACACACGCACGCACACACGCACGCCCACACGCCCGCACACACACACACCCACGCACGCTTGCACTCCCGCACGCATGCACGCCTGCACGCACGCCCCCCACCCTCACACCCACACACACACACACGCACGCACGCGCCCCGCCCACGCTCGCACACACGCACGCAGGCACACCCCCCCGCACACATACACACACACGCACCGCCCGCACGCACATGCACGCACGCCCCCACCCACACACCCTCACACACACACACACACACACACACACACACACACACACGCCCGGCTGCCCGCACGCACACACACGCATGCACTCTTGCACCCACGCACTATTTAACTATTTGTCTATTTATATATGTATCTATTTAACTATTTATTTATTTAGTTATTTAACTATTTATCTATTTATCTATTTTACTATTTATCTATTTAACTATTTATCTATTTACCTATTTATCAATTTATTTATTTTTTTATTTAATTATTTATCTAGCTATCCATTTAACTATTCGTCTATTTATCTATTTATCTCTCTCTCTCTCTCTCTCTCTCTCTCTCTCTCTCTCTCTCTCTCTCTCTCTCTCTCTCTCCTCTCTCTCTCTCTCTCTCTATATATATATATATATATATATATATATATATATATATATATATATATATATATATATATATATATATATATATATATATATATATATATATACCTATTTAACGATTTATCTATTTATTTAGATAACTATTTATCTAGTTAACTATTTATCCTATTTAACTATTTATTTATTTATCTATTCAGCCACACACACCCACACGCCCGCACGCCCGCACATGCATGCACGCACACACGCACGCCCACACGCACCCCCCACCTACACACCCACACACACCCATGCCCGGCCGCACGCACGCACGCACACCCGCCCCGCCTGCCTGCACGTCCACACTCACACATGCACGCACACACGCCCCCACACACCCACACACCCACACCCACACCCCTCCCGGCCGCCCGCCCGCTCGCACGCCCGCCCTCACGCCCACACACACACACCCACGCCACGCACACACACACGCCCACGCCCACACACACACGCCCATGCCCACGCCAACATGCACACACACACACACACACACCTGCACGCACGCACGCCCAACACACGTGCACACACACACCCACCACACCCCACACCCACGCACGCCCGCCCG